TTGCAGTTCCAAAGGCATGCCTCAGCATGACAGCAAAAAAGGTCTCAAAAAGGGTTGGTACACAGCCCTGTTTCACTTCGCTTCGGATGTCAAAGGGATCTGATGTTGAGCCATCAAAAACTACAGTGCCCTTCATATCCTCGTGAAAGGACCTGATGATGTTAAGGAGTTGAGGTGGACATTCAATCTTGGGGAATATTTTCAAAAGGCCATCCCTGCTAACCAAATCAAAGGCCTTTGTGAGATCTATGAAGGCCACAAAGAGTGGCTGTTGTACTTCCCTGCATTTCTATTGCAAGTGTCTCAGGGAGAATACCATGTCAGTGGTGGATCTATTAGCTTGAAATCCACACTGTGATTCTGGATAGACTCTGTCTGCAAGCACCGGGCAAGCAGCTTCCCTACAACACTGAGAAGAGAGATGCCATGGTAGTTATTGCAGTCACCCCTGTCTCCTTTGTTCTTGTACAATGTGACAATGTTTGCATCTTTCATGTTCTGGAGGTGAGGGAATCCAAGGCCAATTTTATTTCTGCTAAGGTTGGTTCACTGTCCAACTCTTCCAAGACAGGCAGGCACTCAATGTTATTTAATGCTTCTTCGGTTACTACATTCTCTCTGAAATATAGCTCAGAGTAGTGCTGCACCCAGTGTTCCATCTGCTGTGCTCGGTCCTGGATGATCACACCTGTAGAAGATTTCAAGGCAGCAGATTTCTTCTGTATTGGACCTAAAGCCTGCTTGATACCATCATACATTCCTTTGATATTACCTGTGTCTGCTGCTATCTGTATCTGAAAGCAGAGCGGAAGCCAATAATCATTGGAACATCTCCTGGCAGCCTGTTGGACTTGGCTACAAGCAGTTTGAAGAGCTTGCAAGTTGTACTAACTAGGACAGGCTTTGTATGCTGCTAGAGCTCTCCTCTTATCCTTGACGGCTGGCATCAACTCCTCCGAATGGGCTCCGACCTATCGGCCATCTTTTTGGTCTTCTTGCCAAATGCAAACAAGGGGGTGTTATACACAGCTTTCTTGAAATGTTCCCATCGTTTAGGTGCACTTGCATCAGCCAGTCCTGGAATGATTTCCTCAAGTGCTTGGGCAAATTCTTCTACTTTTCTTTGATTGCGAGTCTTGCTGATGTCAATATGTGGTCTTCCTTCCTTTTTCATGTGATACAATCTCTTTGTTCACAATTTTACTCTACTACACACCAGGGAGTGATTAGTATCGCAATCAGCACTCTAGTAACTGCATGTGATCGTAATACTAGGAAGGCTAGAACGTCTAGTGAGGATCAAATCGAGCTGAAGCCAATGCTTAGATATTGAATGTCTCCAGGAAACTCGTTGTTGAAGCTTCGTATTAAAGAACGTGTTGCTGACACAAAGACCATAATAACAGCAAAACTCCAGCAAGCGTTGGCCATTTTCGTTCATCTTTCCAATGCCAAAAC